TGATAATTTATCAAATTGCATAAAACTCTGGGTTTAAATGCTTTATTTACACCGTTGATATATCTTTGATAGCTTATCAAATGTTTATAGGAATATGAAAAGAAACTTAAAGAAAAGGAAGATCTATTCGTCACAGAAGCGGCTGATAAGGAAAAGCTAAGATCAGATATAGAACAACTGCACAAGTTTTATAAGAGCCGTCTTTCCAAGCTGGATGCAGCATCAACGACAAAATCTGGATCAGATACAGGTGAGATGAAATTTTGCATAAAAAGAAAAAATGATTTTCAAAGTAGGTTGATTTAATTGTTGAAAATCTGCCTCTTTATCAGTGCGACATAGTTAGAAGCACCTCAGAAGTCTTCTGCTATTTTATAAATCACAATTTCCAACATCAAATAGTGGACGTGGTACATTCTCAGACGTTACCCTGGCATGATAGATGGCACAATCAGAGGCCAATGAAGTCAATCACTTGACCAACCTTCTGCATAAACGGTTGGGCTATTACTCCCTCTTTTGCCGTAGCCCATCATTTCTCATCTTTACAGACTTATCACACTCCAGCCTTATCACACATTTTGATTTGTCTATATTCCACAACTCAAGAGGTGCACCTTTTTTGTGAATTCACCGTTACATCATCACACCTGCTGCTTGCCTTCCAACCCTCACTTTTGAGCGGCTGATCTGACTCGGGCCTTGAAGCGGACAAATGAAGAGTGACAGTTGTCAGGGAGGGAAAAGAATATGTCAAGAATATGAAGTGTGTACTAAAGAAGAACCCAACTATGAAGACAAATGGAACCTTACTTGACACGCTGAAAGATAGGCATAGGAATGGGGATGGACAATAAAGTCACTACCAAAATGGGATGCAAAACCACCAAAAGTCTACAAGTTAGTCAAGTAATACAAAGAAGGAAAGTCTCTAAGGCTGATAGTCAACAAGAAGTATGAAACAAAGCAGAAATGAGCAAATTTCACATGTCTGAAAGTCAAGGAGGTAGACGACAGAGAATTAAACACAGCGAAGCATTCACATGAGTTTGCTCAAAGGGTCAAATTGTTGAAAGTGGAAGAAAAAGAAGTAGTAGTAGGTTATGACGAACGATGCAAGCACACAAACATTGCTGGAGAAAAGGATATCCCACAAGCAGAGATTACCAGAAGAGAGTTGGTTTATGAGACTCTGGAAATCTTCAAATTGTCATCTGCCATGCTACCAAATTGCGAGATTATGGCCCAGATACCGCATTTGTAATGCTTGTTGTAGTGGCGACGTCTTGAAGTTATTTCCTAATTTCTGCATGTATACACTTGCCAAAAGAGGTGACAGCCTCGACCCCATGGCAAGTCCAAATATTTGCAATTTGGTCGCTTGGACGATTTCTATAGGCATATAAATGAACTCACTTCTGATACTCTCTGCTTGTGGGATAACATTATCTCGATCCAAAATCTCTACAAGATCCGTTAGCGCCTTTTCTCCAGCAATGTTTGTGTACATGCATCGTTCGTCATAACCTACTACTACTTCTTTTTATTCCACTGTTAACTTTTTGACCCTTTAGGCAAACTCATGTGAATGGTTCAATGTGTTTGATTCTCTGTCGTCTACTTTCTTGATTTTCAGAAATGTGAACTTTACTAATTTGTCAGCGTATCATGTAAGCTTCCATTTGTCTTTATAGATGTGTTCTACTTTAGCACACGAAATAAACATTTTTATTTCCCAGTATAGTGTTTTATCTCCATATTTCAGTTGTGCTACTGGCCTAATCTAGTGTTAGGATACCGCAAACTCGGTATCAGAAAATATAATTTTTATCTAATCCATTTAGATGATCTTACCTTGAAGCTTTTAAAATTACATTTTAATATTGGGCTTTTAGGGCCATACTTCAATATTTTTTCTACAAATTTTCATATCAATTAAGCATTTTACTAATGCTGCTTTGAGTAAGTAGATGCTAAATTTATTTTCGTGCCATCTATTATCTTCTGATTTGGACTACTACTTGGGTCTTAATCATTCTCAAGACGATATGTTAAGGTTGAAAGATGTCATCATTCATGGACTAAATAAAAAGCCATTCATTTTAGTTTTATGTTGTTTTTTCAGCAGCTATATTTATGGATTATCAGAGAATTTCTCTGCATTTTATATAATAACATGTAAGCATTTACAAGACTATGCGAAACTATGGGATGATATGTTATAAAGATTGCTTTCCTTGGCCACTTAGAGATAAGGATAATTCACTGCACCTTTGCATTTTATTCCAATTGGTTTTCCGGAATAATTCAATCATTTGATTAACTTGGAGCTTTGAACTAGCTTAGCTGGTTTCGGAATTTATTTTCTATTTACAACTGAATTGTGATTATCACACCAATCAGCTGCATTGCTCATAACCATCAGATTCACTATGGGACTATGGGGCTCTCTTTTAAATTGTTTTTAACGACTGAAAGATTTTTTGACAAGTCCAATGCGTGTTTGGCATTCGAGATCTGATATACTCAACTGTCGAGAAATAAATAGCATATAATTACCAGTCGTCTGAATTTGGATTTATTTAGCGTTTCGAGCAATATTGAAGTTCTCTTTTTGACATTAGTTATGTCCGAGTTAAGTGTAAAAAGTCAAGTTTACGCAAAATGAGATTAAATCTTCTTTAATGTCCAGCTCGTATTAATGCAGTAAACTGTAATCTGTACTCACATAGCATAGCGTATCCACCAATGCTCTTTTCTTTGATGCTGAGACTATTTCATTTGAGACAAGCGATCAAGTCAGTTGAATAAATATTTGATATTTCTCAGAAAATCGGGCTTCAACTTAAAGATATTTTTGGATCATGACAATTAAATGAGTTAATATTCATCAATTTAGTCGGCCAAATGGAATATTACTCTCTGAAGGCCAGCATGGAGATATTATTTCATGATAAAAGAAGTTTTATATTTAAGAGGTTGATATTGTTACTAATAACCATGGACGATGATGCTGGCTTGGCCACACAAAAATGCTCTTTTTGGCTGTCTGCAAGCCCAGAGTAAGCTCTAAACAAAATAAAAACTAAAAGCACTTAAGATACATTTTACAAAGAATAATAGTTGGCTTGTATAGAATTAAGGATTCATTTATTGTGTGTTTTCAGGTAGTTGATTAAAGTCAAGTCGAAAAGCTACGATTTTTTTTTACAATCACATAAGACCTATTTATAGTATACCTTGTTCTCTATTCATGTAAGCCTTAAAAAACATTTAAAAAAAATTTATATTTCAACTTTGATCGCCGTATCAACCGACAGGACTTACCTCTCCTATACTCATCACCGAAATCAGTGCTCCCGTTGAAGTTGAGTTTAAGAAAGCTGATTCCTTGGCGCCTCTACAAACTTTCCAAAAGCTGCCGTGCGCGATAACAAGTCGACTGGAAGAGGCCAGTCGAGAAGAGCTATTGAGAAGGTGTGTGTTTAGTGTAGAATTCTTGATATTCTTGTGCGAATGACAAATTCCCTTTCAGAATTAGATAAATTGTCGAGAGATATTTTATTCGACTACTCATAACATATTTGAGTAATTCTGCTAAAATAGACCATTATTTTTTTGTAACTTGCCTTGGCCGAAATGATACTAAATAATGTAGAACGTTGTATCCTATAGCATTTCCTCCCGCATACCAAATAAGGTTTCACTGTATAATTTATCTTCCTTCTAATCTGATCAATGCTTGCTTTGCTTTGCTTTTTATGCTTTATGAAGCATTGCCAAAGCCAGAATGTTGTTTGTAAGAAAGTTTACTTTTTGCCTAACGAGTGCATATAATACTACCAAACAAAATTGCAATATGCTACTTAAATAAGGATTTACCTGTAAATTTAGATGCTGTATAGATGTACACTAATCAGAGAAACACCTTTGTTAAAACCAACGAAAGAACAGAATTTTTAGATTTCTATATTAAAAAATTAAGCAGAAAACTTAAGAAGTAATATTAACTAGTTTGCCCTTAGCGGCTGATTGTATGAGATTTATTCATTTTGATTGATTATTTAGCTGGTATATTGTATGTATTAACTTGTATTATCGAAATATCGACAGGAAAAACTTAATTTACCAGCATGATATCATCCGTGGTAGATTATTTTTTAAAATAACTATCCTCAAATGGCGCTATAATAAATTTTAAGATCTTTAAGCTCATACCTAGGTCCGCTTCCCTCCTGCTAAATAATTCTTAATGGGTTGTTTAAACACTCAAACAATCATGAAAACTGGATTGCTAGCCTAACAACCACCGTTTATGCGTTTATCTTAAAAATATTTTCATTCTGTTATTTTTTCATTAGATAGACATTTAATACTTTTAACTTTGATAAAGCTTGTCGGTACGAAAAGTTAAAATAAGAAATTCAAAAGAATTGTCTTAAACAAGGCTTGACTCAATTCTGACTTACCATGTCGAACCTAACAAAATATATTTTTAAATTTTAAAATTAATAACGTAAATCTGAGATATGATATTTTTCTAAAGCCATCGAATTTTAAGATCTTTTAGCTCATACTAAGGCTTGCTTCTCTCCTCTTCGGAGTCCTGCTAAATAATTCTTGATGGGTTATTTAAAGACTAGAATAATCATGAAAATTGGATAGCTAGCCTAACAACCACTGTTTATGTGTTTATCTTAAAAATAATTTCATGCTGTTATTTTTTCATTAGATAGACATTTAATATTTTTAATTTCGATAAAACTTGTCGGTA